CCCCCCCCAAATTTGGGATTTGGGATCACATAGTCAATATAGTTTGGTAACTTGCTTTTTAAAGAGTTAATACTGAATCACAAACATTATTGCTTGCATATTTTTCCATTATGTGAAATTACCATAATTTATCTTTTGTTGGATACTTAGGTTGTCTCAAGTTTTCAATAATATGCTACTATCAATAATGTACTAATCATAATCATTTTATATAAATATTCCACCTACATCTTTGTTGATGGCTAAGTGATTAGATTCTCCCAAGCCAGGCCCCAGAGCAACCTCTTCCAGACTGGCCTGGGGTGGAAGGAGGGAGAGAGTGAGAGTTAATGCCTGGGGACAGCAATATTCTGGAGAGAAGCCTGGGTGCTGGCTAGTCCTCAGCAGAGAACTCAAAGTCCTTTTACGGCTGGTGACAGACACACTGCTGATTGCAGAGGAGGGAGGAGAGTCAGAGAAGTGCCTGTCATGTAATTTAGGCATTTTAAATTTGCACATCTCTGAGCCAGGCCCAGCTGTTCCATTCAATTACATTGACCATCTTTGTTCCCAGCTACACAGAGTGTCTTGGCTGGGTTCTGGGTTCCCCAGGAACATACTTAGTCATTAATAGGAAATGCATTCATTTAATATTCATGAGGCAAGAGAAATATTTAACCATTCATCCTTGAATCACCACCCACCACACCCTAACCTAGCAAATATTGTAAGTTCTACGAGGTCAGGCACATATCTACTTGGTCTGCTATTTTGCCCTCAGTGTCAAACACGTCACCTGGCATATAGCAGATAATCAACAAATATTTGATGAGTAAAGAAAAAATATAAAGTGAAAATATCTCAGTCCAACTGCCAATTGGATCTTGGCCCCACTTTCTTCTAAAAGAAACTGGGCCCGTATAGGTTTATTTCTTCAATCCTGTTGAATAATTTGGGGAACAGTGATGTAAGAGTCTATACCTGATCTAGGTACTACTGTGTGGGGACTGTAATTTTTTCTGTGTTGAAACATGTTTGGCCTGATTTATCTACAGAATCTTTAGGCCTGCAGTTTGACACATTATTCCCCTAGGAAATGAACCTTGAATGAAAAAACCTTTTCCCAAGGGATCTGCATGGACTGCAAGTCTTGCTTCTTTTGGTGACAACAAATCACCTCAGAATCCTTCACTAGTGGATTAAAACTTTATAAAACTATTGTATTAAAACTTTTAAAAACATTTCAAGCTTCAAAATATTAGACCATTCTGATGGATGATCAAATAATTTCAATGAATAAAAAGAATACAGTGTTATTCATTCAACACTTACTGTGTACTTCCTAGGTGTGAGCTTTTTTCTGGATATTAGAAATGAAAAGAAGAGATGCTCATAGATATACAGATAAACGCATACTTGTTCTGGAGTGTCGTAAGTGATATAACTAGGGTGGATAGGGTGCTGTGGGAACACAAAAATGGGAGCTATTTGCTAATTCATCTCAATAAGTTGGGGAAAGTTTCATGGAGGTGAGGTTCAGAGGATGGATAGGAGTTTGTCAGGCAGAGAAAGGAGGAAATAAGTGTTCAAAACAAAGAGAGTTACACAAGCCAAAGCTCAGAAGGCTGTGGTCCATTTGTGACAAGTGAGGCCTTCACAGCGGTTGGAGGCTAGGATATTTGCAGGGGAGATTGGATTGTACAGGTGAAATTCAGGTGCATCATCAAGGAGGCAGTTAACGAGATTGTACTTTGTTGCATGGATAATGAAGGTTTTGATAAGGGACATTTATCTTTCAACCCGTAGTATCATCAGGCCAAATTAAGACATTTCCTTCGATAATGATCCAGTAAGGAGACCAAGAAGACTTGATTTTCTTCTCTTTTTGGTTTTAGGCTTCATTATATCGTCTCTTAATCCTGGTGGCGTAATGGTCCAAGCCTCCCTTAATTTTTCAGCTTAAATTTTGTTAATTTATTTCTTATTTGTTTTTATATCCAAACTATTTTCAAACTCTACTACCCCCCCAACACCCCCGCCCCCCCGCCACCTCGTTTGTCCTGTGACTATTTATTTGGAAGTCAAAGCTGGGCTCAGTGATAAACCAGTTCTAACATGTAGCTGGGACCATTTATGGAACTTATTCCATAAAATGGTCTCTTTTACATCATGGGTGGTCAGGAAATGGACACATGAGACCAAAATCTACATTAAGTCTCAGTGGTAATACAGACCAGAACTCATTTCCTCAAAACCCTTAGAAAATCCCATTGTACTTTTGGAATGTTTTAACAAGTTAAATTAAGACTAGGGTGAGAGATATAGAAAAAGGAAAATGAAATAGGAATCCTTGGTATCAAGGATTCCAAGTAGTTACCAAGCAGAAAATTCTAAAAGTAACATTTCAGAAAAATATTGTATGCCATGTGCAAATTAATATCAGATGCTCTAAAATCATTTTTAAAAACTCTTATCTATAGTTTATATATATACCTTAACTTGTCTATACTTTATTTACCTAAATATACTTTAGTTTTTTTTCATTGAAATATACAAATGAGTGTTGGCTTTGAGCTTACTATTCTCAGAAGTAAAAAAAGAAATCAGTTACTAGTATTATTGTTTGTCCTCTCTTGACTTACTCTATTTGTGCATATTTGACTCACCATATAAGTTATTCTTTTTGTAATTCTGATGTCAATTTGAATGCAAAGGATTCAGATGTATGTGTCAACGTTTCTGCTGTTCATTTTTTTTTGTCAGTATTTTGCAAAATAACATCTCTTTGTGGAAGGTAAAATCAATACCATATAGCGTAGCTAGGTAAGTTAAAAAAAACTGTAGGACTGAGAAAATGTCTATCAATCAATTTCCTTATGTTGTTTGTTTTGCAGGTGACGATGGCCAACATTGGAATAAATGGAAATAGTTCTATGGAGACCTGTGAAACAATACTTTTTGCTCTCCGAATGGCAACATGGAATCAAATCTTGGATCCCTGGGTGTATATTCTTCTGCGGAAGGCTGTCCTTAAGAATCTCTACAAGCTTGCCAGACGCTGCTGTGGAGTGCATGTCATCAGCTTACACGTTTGGGAACTGAGCTCCATTAAAAATTCCTTAAAGGTTGCTGCTATTTCTGAGTCACCAGATACAGAGAAAATAAATCAACAAGCACCTAGTTTAATTGGACAATTAAGTTAATGTAGGTCTAGGAAAAAATTAACAAAATTTTGGCAGTGTTTTAGTTGATTGTATAAATATGTATAAAGCCTAACTGGAAAATTCAGACCTTAGCAGGTAGTTTGGAGCACTTTTGTCAGATTTGGCTTTTGAAATTTGTTAAATTAACTGTATAAATGCACATTTTCACTTTGTTTTGTCGACGAGGTAAACATGATGAAATAATGCCGTGGGAGTCAAATTGAAAACAATTTTGGGCTTATCTGTGTTATTTGTGCTTTTGGAATGAGTGACTCTGTTAAATCCTAAATCATTTATGTGGCCTATTTGCCAAAGAACATTTTAAAACTACCTGCATAGTGAAATGCCTATTTGAGGGTCACTGCTCTGCAGCTACTCCTTATAGACTAGGTTTAATGCCATGGAGTGCCCTCACTCTTTAATCCGGTCTGTTTTACCCGTCACTTGTAACCTCAGTAACTATATGTATGGTCATGTCACATGAGATTCACTGTGGTTTGTTTATAATGATCTCCATATACACCAGGTGTGGCTGTCAGGTTGCCTGATCTTGCGAGCCTGTTTAAAATGAGCCTATCCTTGTCATATTTGATAAATATGACTGTTCGCATTTATTATTATGAGGGTCAATTGTTGATTGAGGATTTTCTTGGTAAGTCACAGATTTTCAGTTTTCAAAAATTCCCTTTTCCTTTGAAAAGTCTAGTGTACAGTAAGTAACTTTTAGAGAAAAAAAAGGCTCTGTCTTAGCACATATATAGGTGATTTGCATTACAGCAGTTCCTAAGAAGCTCTGCCATACATAATGCAAAAATAAGTAAGTAAGTAAGTAAGTAAATAAATAAATAAATAAACAAACCTTAAACCTAGTGATAGGTGCAAAGAACACTGGCAAAGTTGCTTTACTTTGAGCCATCATTTCTGTCAGAGAACAAAAAAATTACAATCTGTATTTAATATACAATGACTATCTGCAAGTAGTGTGTTTCTGCTTTTTACCTACCTGTACATAAACATACATACACGCACACACCCACACACACTCAAAAGGACATCAGAAAGTTCTGTTGAAAGTGGCTTCATTAAATCTGTCAGATGGCATCTTCTAAAGCCTGTGCTATAATGTCAAGAGGAGGACTGGTGATTAGTTGGCATCTGAAAATCATTATAATGGTTAACCAAGAGGTCAAGGGATAATAATCTCTCCCCAAATTTCTCAATAATACTTTAGATTTTTTCTTTGCTTGTTTGTATAATGCAACCCTCAAAATTTTAGGTCCATCAGAGCATAGGGTAGGTAGTTCTGCTTTATAATAATGAAGTGCATTTCTGTAAAACAGTTGATTGCCTTCATTAACTGGGGTCTATGTTAAAATTAATTTTCCCTATGAGACTGTTTTCAGAATTTCCAGGAAATTTGTGCAGTTCAACTAGACTTAAATTATGTTCACAAAGTTTTGCTTTTGAATTATTTTACATCAGAAGTTGTTCACTTTTGTGAATTTTGAAAAATTCTTGTTAATAAATTAAAATAAATTAAGCAAATAGCTTCACTGAAGATTTAAAGGCAACCATTTTTTTCCCAGTAAATTTAAAGAAGAGAAACTCACATATACACATTGGTACATGATATAATTAATTTAAGACCAATAAATGATTAATCACACAAATTTAGGTTATTCTCATTTATAGAGCACATCATAGATGCTCAATAAATACTTGTCAAATTAAATTACAAGAATTTCTTGTTGCAAAATGACCATGGAATTGTAAAGCTTTTGTACATTTTTAATTTAAACTGAAAATTACATGTTGGTTATTGTGATATATATGTATAAAAATGCATATATTTGCGTGTGTGTATATCCAATGTATATGCTTAAAAAAGCCATTGCAATTTATGATTGCTGTTATATTATATAAATGTTCTCTTCTGTTTCAAGAGGACTTAAAGCCCAGAAGAACTTTTAGATGGTTTAGAGGAGATATCTATTTCTCACAGCTACTAAGAGTGTAGGTATCCTGTGAGCTGAGGTACAAGGAACCAAAGCTCCATCCTTCTTCCTTATGCTGGGTAGGATGTTGCAGCAAACACTTCCATGTATCGTGGGGGAGAAACTCTTATTCAAATTTCCAAGCCTCTTCTCCTTGACGACTCTTCTAATCAAATGGCAGAATTGTTGCTCTATTGCTGTGTTGTCACCCTGGCCATGTGTATCTGTATTGAGGCAATATTGTGACATAACCTCATGTGACAAATCATTACCATGCAATGTTTTGGGGACTGATAGGGGGCTTTGTATATATCCTGGAAGGATTATCTATATTATCTGAGTACAGGTTTAGACAATTAAATTAGTTTTATGATGATGTTAAATCCAAGAAGTAGACACCAAAAATTGGAAAAAAAATTTAGTAAAAGAAAATGAGTTTACATTTTTTAGGCTTTTCATTCAAGGAAAATTAAATAATATGTATATCTGACTTTGGAATTTTATTCCTGTTATAATACACATTTTTAGTGTAGTTTGGCAATTTATTGCATAACGAATAATAGAATGGAGCATCCACCAATAACTTTCATACAAATGTTCAAAGTAGAAGTATGTTTTTTCAGATTACTAAAAATAAATCGTACAAGCATTGTTCAACAAATTTACCAATTTTGAAGTTTTAAGTTTTATTTTAAAATTCATAATTAGACCATCAGATTACCTGAATTTCTTTCATCATCGGGGAAAATAGTTTCTAAGCAACTTCTCATACTGTTTGATCATAGTTTTGGAAAATTATTTGGGCAAATGTCTTGAAAATACTAGGCTTTTCTGATGTTAGCGAAGATTTTAAAAAATGAGACTAAAAAACCCAACAGCACATAGGTTTTTATGATTATGAATACAAAGACATAATGCTGACTCATAATTAGCTGATTTTTTACTGATGGATTTAACTAGATGATAGAAATAAGCTTCTTTAATTTTTTTTTTCTAAAGGCACAACTTGCTTCTACTTATCTATATTGCTGAAGTGGAAGATACCTAAAAGCGCTCGCGCTCGCTCTCTCTCTCTCTCTCTCTCTCTTTCTCTCTCTGTCTCTCTCTCTCTGTCTCTCTCTCTCTCTCTCTCTCTCTCACACACACACACACACACACACACACACAGATATAACTGATGTAACAGTCTTGTTTGCTCATTTTTAGACTTAAAAGAAAAACTTGCTTTAGTTTTGTGCCTAATCTTAGAACCCAAATAAGAATACTTGTTAATTACATAAACTTTTTGTGAAACTCTTTGCTAGCTTCACCTATATTACCATCATTGCTCAAACTTAATAAACTATCTAAGGTCAGAATACATAGGAAGGAAATATACAGTTTCTTTTTCTTCTGGGTGTCAGAATATTTACCACCTAATAAATAATACTGGATTTCAACTTCTTATTGACACATTTTAACAGTAGATGAATGTCTTATGTAAATAAATATATTTTGTGCTCTTAATATTTGTTGGATTGTATGTGGTTAAAAAATATTATATATATATAATATTTTTATTGTTGCTTGCATCAATATGCATTACAAGTAATTGTGATGCTTTGACTAGCTTAAAACTTCAAACATGATTTTATAATAAACTTGGGCTGGTATTTATCAAGAGTGGTTATTTTCAGGAAGGTTATGTAAGACTTGGAGCTCTTGAACCTAAACTCCCATTTTTATCTAGATGGGAAGAATTTCAATTTGTTTTTCATTTTTACCTTTTGTTATCCCTTTCTTGACCACTTGTTTGTGACATCTGCTTTCTTTCTGTTTTCCTGTGCCTTACCTTCCTTAGGTAGGTCAGAATTCTTATGGGAATCTGATAATTTCTAAAACACAGTGGCTTTGGTGTGTCAGTCAGGATAGCCAAAGTATTTTTGTGATAACAACCCGCAAAGGTTTATATCCCACTATGGCTCCTGTCCACTCAGAAGGGAAACTCTGCTCATTGTAATCACTCAGAGACCTCAGGTAGCAAAGCAGCCACCACCTTATATGTTACTGTTTGCTAGCTACAGGGGAAAAAACAGCATAGTGGATCATGTACTGGCTCTTAGAGCTTCCGCCTGGAGGTAATACGTATTACTTTTTCTCACACATCTCTAGCCAAAGCAAGTGATATACTATGATATGCCCAGGAGAAGAACTGAAAATAATTGGTAAATAGCACTGATGATTTCCACATTAGGTCAACGTTTTTTATTTTCATTTTTGCCTTCCTAATATAATTCAAATTGGAACCATGTTTTTATTTTAAATTTATTAGGAATATCATGGGATGAAAAGATTGAGAACTTGTTCCTATATCTTGCAATCTATAAAGAAGAGGCAGAATGAAATGAATGTATATGCCACATATGCTGTTTGCAAGTAATAGATATTTTAGGTGATAAAAACCACGATAAAATAGTGAAAAACTTTGTTCTTTAAAATGGAAGAAGTGAGACATTTCTGTATAATGCCCAAGCATTGCCTAATTGCAGTATTGTCTGAAATTGTTGCTTTTCTACTAAATGAGGATGTTCGAAATATAGTTTTGCCTTTGCACTTTGTTTCCTTATCGTGGAATATGTGTACCTTGATATATGTCCTCGTGCTGTTGAATTCTATCAAACTGTCAGAAAACCTGCTATATAATAGCATAATAGTGCTGGAACAAGATTAAACCACATTTCTTTTTCTCCAAGTGAGAAGAGTTCCTTCATTTCTCCAAAAATGACAGTATATGCAGTAAGTCAAAATCTTGGCTAAAATTAAATCTTAGTAATCCGGAGATGTAAGTTTATATAGCAAGTATTCTGTTCAAAATTTCCATAGTGTGTTATTGCAAAGAATTTCTGGCAGTGCCATCTTTTTGCCCTGAAGATATATCAACTGAAAGTTATATGATCAAGATAGGCAATTATGAGAAAGTAATTTGAAGGTTTTTATGTTATTGAAAAATCTCATACTTGCTAAAGTAAATTTTTTAGTTAAAAATCTAGATAGTTTATGAAAGAGTAATGAAAATCCCATTTTGCATATATCTTATAGTAAAATGGAGGCAGAATTATTGAAATAAAGGAACTATATTATGAATTTGAAGTACATTTTACATTTCTACTTATAAAAGGATATAAAGTCAGTCTTAGAGTTTCATATTTAATATCATTTAAATTATTTTCAAGCCCTCATTGGTAAAACCCAAATTAACAAAATGCACTCTGTTGTAGTGCTAACTTGCCCATGTTAAATGAAACAATCATACACCTATACAATTTTAGTTTTAAAAAATGAGATCATACTAGACATGCTATTGTGTTCTACACTTCTTTATTTCAACAGCTCATGTCAGTTTGTACAGAATATTTAACAGCTAAATAGTATTACATATTATAGAGGTACCAGTTATTTTTCCTCTTTCAAATAA